TCTTTCTACATGTCAATATAATAAAACTGTAACAGAAGACAAGTTCCTGCTGAGTGTAGTTCAAATCATTCATCAAGTACCGATTATGGAAATGGTGCTTTGTGGGAATGCAAAACACCATTGTTTGATGCCTGCGCTCTGATAATGGTTAAATTATGAATAGATTCTATTTCTGCTGCAAGACTGAAAAACACTCAGAAACAATATGAAACCATGCCTATTTATTTGTCTGGTGGAAGTTGGGCTGTATTTCCCAGCTTTCTCTTCATACACATTAAAATTTTTTTGGTCTAATTAGAGATCCACATCTGAGAATTTCAAATGTTTCTGCCATTCTGATAGATTTGGAAATATTACTTTAATGATCGGGCGGGCTATGCTTGCAATAAAATGTATCTTTGCCTGCATTATCAAAAAAGGAATGTGCTGATATAACTGAGAGTATACAGGTGTCTAATAATTTCAGTTCCCAAAAGCACAGACTTTTAAATATTTTCTAAGCTATAAGGTAATTTTCGACTGAAAAAATAGGATTTATTTTTGCTCCAAAACCTATTTTAAAAGCATGCCTTATTTTAATTTAAACTGGATCATAGTTTACTACAGTGGCACATAAATTAAAGTCTATCCTGCAAGGTCTTTCAAACTATTGAACAAAAAAATAAGACACCTAATAGTAGCTAAAGAAAACGACATCTAGGCTGGGTGCGGTGGCTCACGCCTGTAATCGCAGCACTTTGGGAGGCTGAGGCGGGCAGATAATGAGGTCAGGAGATCGAGACCATCCTGGCTAACACGGTGAAACCCCATCTCTATTGAAAATACAAAAATTAGCTGGTCGTGGTGGTGGGCGCCTGTAGTCCCAGCTACTCGGGAGGCTGAGGAGAATGGCGTGAACCCGGGAGGCAGAGCTTGTAGTGAGTCGAGATTGTGTCACTGCATTCCAGCCTGGGGGACAGAGCATGAGAGTCCATTTCAAAAAAAAAAACAAAACAAAACAAAGGAAAAGAAAAGAAAACGACATCTGATCTACAGAAGCATGTGACTTGTATTCTACTACCATATTCTGCAACCTGTAGAAATACAGAAATGGAATGCATAACTACTTAATATATTTTATGATAAAATACTTTTGTGAAAAAGCCCCACAAAATTACTATCAATTATAAACATCTTTGGAATATTTTATTGCTAGAAAGATGAAGCAATTATTTATATTATTATGATTGCTTTTCAAAAGAATGAAATTTCAATTATTTCACAGTAATCACAGGGTATTATTAGACTGTAGGCCTGAGTCTGATATTACATATGTGTGTGACAGCCTCGCTGCTACCTCCTATTTGTGTCCATATCCTTTTTGAACAAGAAATGGGATCATATAACAAAATAAATAATGCATTGCCATCTATTTTTAAATATAAAATATATGCAAAACTATTTCTGCATTAAATTAAGGGTTTTATGGAAATATTAAGAACATATTGGTTATAATGAAAAAGATATTACATTCTGTTAATTCTTCATGTGAAATATTTTCCAAACTATATTTTTAATGTCTCAAAGCCTTCTAAACACATATTATTGGTTTAAAATTTCACTTTTAATGTAGTGAACCCAAAACTATGCCCAGTACTCCAGTGCAGCAGTCCTTTCAATAAAAAGAAGCAGAAATTTCTTATCTTTATTGAATGCTTTCAGATTGTTTAACTTGTTTGACAGCTGTATAGACTTATTGCTATATGTCTATATTTATCTATCTAATCTATCATTTACCTATGTACCTATTTACCTGTCAATCATCTATTTGTATTTTAAAATAAAGCTGCTATTCAAGATCCTCCCTATGTGGTACTTTCCAAAGTCTACCCTCTAATATGCATCTTTATTTCATGTCTCATTGTTAAATTTCTTTGTTCTAGCTATACAAAGTCTCCTCGAATCTTAATCTAATACATTAGCTTTACTAGCTTGGCTTCCAAATGTTCTATAATCTGCTGTCTTCATCCTAGCTATAGAGAGTTAGAATTAAGAACCCAGCTATGGTGCACATTATTAGAGACTGACATTGACAGTTAGCACTGAGAAATCCACGGATGTTCTATCCTGCTATGTTTTCTCGTTATTCAGCCTATATTAATTTTTCTTATTTATTTGGGTGCCATTCGAGCCTTTCTATATTTATTTATCTATTTAGAGACAGAGTCTCACTGTTGACAGACTGGGCTGGAATAGAATGGCGTGATCTTGGCTCTCTACAACCTCTGCCTCCCGGGTTCCAGCAATTCTCCTGCCTCAGCCTCCCGAGTAGTTGAGATTATAGGCTCCTGCCACCATGCCCGGCTAATTTTTGTATTTTTTAGTAGAGGTGGGGTTTCACCATGTTGGCCAGGCTGGTGTTGAACTCCTGACCTCAGGTGATCCACCCACCTTGGCCTCCCAAAGTGCTGGAATTACAGGCGTGATGCACCGCACCTAGCCCTTATTCATTTCTATATTATATATTTCTATATAATATATTTCTATATAATATATATTTCTATATAATATATATTTGTATATTATATATATATATATTTCTTCTTCCTTTCATATTCTTCCTCAGTGTTCAAAATTTTATTTTTCAAGTTCAGTGAGCCTTCTGCCAGGTATATTTTTTGCCATTCTGGTGAGGTATAGAATATCCCTTGTCAAGAGCTCATTATTCTGCTGTGCCAAGCTTTTCTAGCTGGGAAGCTCTTTGCCTCCTGAATCATCGTTTCTTTTCCAAAGTCAAAACTTTAACTGGAAAAAAAGAGAATGAACATTTTTATGTCTTTACATCTTAGAGATTTCTATTTCAGGACTTAGAATGCACTAGAAGCCTATTCTGGCATTTGTCTTGTTTCTGATTGCATTTCCAATAGTTTTCCTGAAAATAGCACGCTTCAAGATTATTAATATGAGATGTATGCTAGGCCTTAGTCATGAAACAGCCACCATCTACACCACATGTTATGTCATTTCACATGTTATTATTCGTGTTTCCTGAGAGTCAGAGACCAGTGTCTCACATCTCTTCTTCAGAGGAGCAGCTGTGAGATTGTCAGACATGTTTGTGCCTGTGAATACTTATCTCACACATTTCCCATAGACTAAAGACTTCTGTTAATTATGATGCATCATCCTACAGCTGATAGATCTGCTTCCACAAAGGTCGTGTTTTCTGGGAGAGTAAATGTGACTGATAAATTATTATATAATACACATGATATCATTTCTCCACTTCTTCTCCCTCTATCCTATAACATGTTTAAGAATAGACAGCTGATGTCGTTTTTAAAAATTCCTCTTTCTCTGGGTAAGAAAAATCTTCAATTTCTCATTGGATTATTTATTTCTGATTTTTAGTAACTCAATCATATATGTATGTATATGCATATTTTATGTTTTATTATGTGTAGTACATCGAATATTTGAAAAATTAGTTAGCTTTCTCATTATATTAATTTAGCAATGTACAATAAATAATATCATTTTAGGATATTGCACTGTGACTATTATAAACATAGCTATATAAAATACAATTTCAATTTTCAGAATAAAAGACATTGATAAGAGAAAAAGAAGCCCTCATTGTAATTGTCTAATGATCCATTTACATTTTAGTACAAAACAATTAACTCATAGATGTAGCTGCATGTTGAGTTCCCTGGAGTTGAACTGGCATTTGGAGTGCGGGTGTAGTGGAGTGTGCCATTGGGATCAACATCTGTAGATCACAGGAGAAGAAAGAAGGACTGGGTGGAGTGACAAATGGAGCTGCCATTCACTCTTAATGTCTCTTAATGGCTGACCCCCTGGAAAAGCTCTGGAGCTAAAGTTGTCCATCATTATTGTCAGTAGTATAGGAAGGGGGACAGGCCAACATTTGTAACCTTTCAGCAGTGAGTCATTAATTATATGCTATTCCAGAAGAATGTGACCTGGGGGCAGGTGGCAATCTATAGCTAGGGCAACAGGTAATTTTATGAAGGGATCTGAACAGTACATCCAAGTGTGAACCATGTGGGTTTTCAGCTATGCATTCAGGGATGAGGAATAACAGTACAACGAAACATATACTATATGCACTGAAGACATCAATACCATTTGGCAGTGAATTGGAGATGAGGCAAAGTGACATTGTGGTGTTGAGCAGGGTTCTAGAATAGAGGTTTTATCCTTATCATTTACTAGCTTTGTGATTTTGGGCAACTAACACTCTGGGACTAGGGTTATTTACTTTTAAATTAGTATTTATAATAAAATTTTTTTCAGCTATAAATTAAAGAATTTAGCACCCTGTCCCTCATAAGGTTATAGATTGAACACAATATATCATGCAGGCATTTATTATAGTACATTGCATTTAATAAACACATTTTTTAAAAGATGATTAGCTATTTTATTCATCATTCACTTCCCCATGGTCAAGCAATAGTGCTTCAAATCACAGCTAAGCCTAAAAATATGTATTGCTTGATCTACTGTCTCCATAGAAATATTATCTAAACCAGTAGTTCTTATACCTATTTTATGCATCAACTTCACCTCAATAGTTTGCTAAAAATACAGATCTGTGGTCCTATCACATATATTCAGAGCCTCTAGGTTTGGGGAAAGTCTCGTTGGCTCACTTCAAAGTGTAGGACCCTAAGTGTATGACTTCAGGCCCTCTGCATCCCTCTAAATCTTGTAGCTATTAGGTCCATGTCCAAAATGTTCATTTCTTCCTCCTCCTTTGTCTTCCCACTATTTTCCTTCATCTTTAGTGTGGCTGTATTAATTTTTCTAAATAGGTTTCTCAACTGGAGAACCAATATTAGCCTCTCTTTAATAATTGCCCCTTTGTATTCCCTTGTCCATTTCATAAACTGAAATAAGAAAGATACACATCCCCATTTTATCCATTAAAGGAAATGTGAATCTTGAATGGCGGCTTGACTAAGAATATTTTGTTTTGCTTATGTCTGTCATAGATAACACAGCCAGCATTCTGACAAGGCGGAGGAGATTTAGTCGAACTGTTCAGGATGTGTATTATCTGCCCATTATGATCTCTGATGGTGGAATCCCCTCTCTCAGCAGCAGCAGCACCCTCACCATCAGGGTTTGTGCATGCGAGAGAGATGGGCGCGTGCGGACCTGCCATGCGGAAGCGTTTCTGTCCTCGGCTGGTTTGAGTACAGGAGCCTTAATCGCTATTCTTCTCTGTGTTCTCATTCTCCTGGGTAAGTCATTCTAAACCCTAAGTTTGTATGATGGCAATTCTGAATGAGAGGAAATCATTTTGACAAAACTTAAGGATTAGGCGTACATAATGTGGGTAAGGAAATAGCTGCTCCAATTTCCTATGAATTAATTTTCTCTATACTATCATTAATCTCAAAATAGTTAGATTCAAATGTGTTGAAAGAACTGAAATAACAGAAGAAGGGTAAAATCAGAGAGAAATAGCTTTTGAAAGTGTATGGTTTAGAAAGAATTAATATTTAAATATTCAGAATCCCATCTTGAAAGAGCTTTTCACATTTTTTTGCAAGAACCTAAGTGGCATCATTCTAAATGAATCCGACCAGGACCCCATCCCGCTTAGCTTCTGAGATCAGAGGAGGTCACCCATTCATTCAGAATGAGGGTGAGGGTCATATGACCGTAGGGTGAGTAAATGTAGAGATCAAATATACAACAAAAGGACTTTAGTTAATAACAATATTGTCTTGTACTGGAAATTTGAAAAGACAGTGAACTTTAGGTGCTTTCTCCCCTCCACGTGAAAAAGGAGTGTAACTATGTGAGATGACAGATACATTGATTTGCTTGACTACATTAAGCATTTCATCATGTAATAATAGTGAAAACTATTATTGGGAAAACATCATCATGTTGCACACCTTAAATATATAAATGAATAAATCAGAAAGCAAAATGAATCTGAAAACCAAATAAAAAATAGATATCTTGTAGAAACTTCTACTAGTTCACAATAATTAGTTAATCATTAATGTTAGTTGTTAACGTACTGAATATTTTTTGGTCTTAGGGGGCTATTAAATTTTATTAAATTTAATTATATTCCCTTAAAAACAGTAATTTTGGCCGGGCACAGTGGCTCACGCCTGTAATCCCAGCACTTTGGGAGGTCGAGGCGGGCAGATCACGAGGTCAGGAGATTGAGACTGTCGTGGCTAACATAGTGAAACCCCGTCTCTACTGAAAATACAAACAAATTAGCCAGGCATGGTGGCGGGCGCCTGTAGTCCCAGCTAGTCGGGAGGCTGAGGCAGGAGAATGGCCTGAACCCAGGAGGCAGAGCTGGCAGTGAGCCAAGATCACGCCACTACACTCCAGCCTGGGCAACAAAGCAAGACTCCGTCTAAAATAATAATAATAATAATAATAATACTTTTTTGTTTGAATTTTTCATTACAGTTCATTGAAAATAAAACACTTTCTCTAATTTTTCATTATCTGTTGTAATATTCTAAATCTTTTCACAGCTGCATGAGGAGCTCGCATAACTATAAACTCTTTAGATTGCTCTTTGAAACAAGATAGCAAATCTGTATTGTAATAAAAAGAAAGATGGATATAAGGAACCTTTCTGCTTCATAAAGTGGGAACCTCTGTCCAAACCCTTTTTTCTTTCTCTTAGCAGCCTGCTTTTTATTCCTTTTATGGTACTGGCATACATGAAAAGATAATTGACTGTTTTTCTGAGAAAGAGGTATTCTTGCAAAAAATATGTTCCTTGTTTTGTTCCTGGGGTCGAAGACAAATCGCTTGTGTAGATGGAGGGGCGATTAAAGCGTAATGAACCTGGAAAGGAGAAGGGATTTGCAGGAAAGGGTGAGGGCATCCAGAGATTTGTGGGGCATGGCAAAGCCGGTACATTTTGTTTTAGGAGTGCAAAGAAAGGTTTAAAGCCAGAGAGTCCCATTATAAAATCTTCAATTTGCAAAAGATGACTGTGAATGACATGGAGAATAGAACTCCTGATGACAAGAGGGCATGTAGGCAAACCAGTTAGGAAAACTCTGCCCTTGTCTCCCTTCGACATAGCATGTATCGGAGTAGCATACTTACCAAAGACCTGAGGAAAAGTGAGTACTATCTAGGTACTTTCGATGGACTCAGGAAAATGATCTTTGACAATGTAGAGACCTGCATGAGTTAGAATGGCATCAAATACAACTTCTTATATCTTGCTGAATATAGATCCTCAACTACCCTGAGCTAGATGACATTGAAAGTCCACTTCATTGAAGTTGCCCAGCAAGAGAATATATGTAGAGAGACAATGGACTGAGGTTGAGCAGTAAGAAACTACAATGTGATCGCTAAATAAGAAGGATGAGATAGCAGAGGACAGTGAAGAAGCCAGAGTAGGAAGAAAATATAATGTCACAAACATCAAGGGAAAAGAGGGTGTCAATGAGCATTATGCTGTGTAGTAGATCTTGTCAACAAAGTCAAAAGATGCTTACAAGTTCAATAAATTGAGCACCAAAATGCTCAATTGCACTTAGCAACATGAAGCTTGGAAGTTTGGTGCACCACAGCAAGAACTATTTCACTGCAATCAAGTCATTTCTAGCTCGTAATGGTGGCACATACCTGTAGTTCAAGCTACTTGGGAGGCTGGGATGAGTGGATCCCTTGAGCCTGGGAGTTGGAGGCTGCAGTGAGCCATGATCACACCACTGCACTTCAGCCCAGATGACAGAGTGAGACTCTGTCTCAAAAATAAGTAAATAAATAAAAACAAATAAATATATACAGTAAATGTGTAGTGGAGAGGAAAGTCAGGAAGAGAGCCTTTAGAAACTTTATATGGACAGGCACGGTGTCTCGCGCCTGTAAGCCCAGCACTCTGGGAGGCCGAGGTGGGCGGATAATGAGGTCAGGAGATCGAGACCATCCTGGCCAACATGGTGAAACCGTGTCTCTACTAAAAATACAAAAAATTAGCTGGACGTAGTGGTGGGCACCTGTAGTCCCATCTACTTGGGAGGCTGAGGCAGGAGAATGGGGTGAACCGGGAAGGCAGAGCTTGCGGTGAGCCGAGATCGTGCCACTGCACTCCAGCGTGGGCAACAGAGCCAGACTCCATCTAAAAAAAAAAAAAAAGAAGAAGAAGAAGAAAAAGAAAGAAACTTTATATATTTATTGGTCAGAACTGCTATTTTCTTTGGTTATTAACATACTTCTTTTGTGTGTGTGTATTTGAAAAGAAAAAGAAAAAGAGCACAAACACTCCAGAAAGAGAAAACAAGGCTACACAATAGCAATTAACCTGGATCTCTCTAGAATCCTAACTGAAGTCACAGAGAATAGAACGCAGGGATTTTAATGAGAGTTCTTCCAGCGTTCTTACCTTAAAAGTAGATCACTTAGGTGAGGTATGTCATCTTCAAATTTTGAGCTCATTTATCATCATAAAACTATTTTCATTTACTAAGATGAATATCAAAAATGTAATTAACGTGTTAAATGTCTAGGTACATTTTGAGGTGCATTATTTGAAAGAATATTTTATGTTTTCATGGAACGATACTTCATTTTAATTGGTTTTTATGAAAATGTTTTCTCTTTTGGGGTAAATAATAGGACATTTGTAAATTTTATGATATCCCTCCAGACTAGTAAAGTTACTCTATGATATGTTTACTTTTTCATTTTTATTAGTTGAAACTCAAATATGCTCTAAAAGCATATTTGAGCCGTGATCTGACTGGGACCTCTGCCAGCTCCCTTTTCAGTCCACACCTCAGGTATAAGCAGGTGACCTAGGTGAGGCCATCATAAGTGAGGCATTGATTGCTCCCTAATCTTGGATATAAATTTCCAGATAAATGGGGATCAAAGTAGATTTGGTGTGAGCATGTGGTGGACTAAGAGAAGAAAATGGAATTGGTGAAAAGATGCTGTAAAAGCATATTTGAGTTTCAACTAATAAAATTAGTGAAAATATATATTATAACTACAATTATATATTATAATGCAATGTATGCTTTTCATGGCATTGATTAGTTTTTATGGTTATTCAGAAAGTATGTAGCCAAGGGATACAGGATATAGTCATCATAATTTTAAAACAATGTTGAAGTTAATTTGTGAGATTATGATTTTCAACATAAATATTGGCAAAACCAAAGGTAGCACAACTTTCTTTTTGAACTTCTAATTCTGTTCTTGAAATTCTAATTCTAAATTAACTGTCAGCCCTCACACCTAAACAAATTGTAAAGTTAAGATTTTAATATTAAATATGTTTTCCCTCTCAACTTCTTGTTTGTGAAAATGACTGTGATTGTACAAACCCAGGTCTAGTTTTGCCAGTAACTGTGTGATCTCAGGCCACACATTAAGTCTTTGTTTCTATTTCTAAACCTGTGAGAATGACATTTCAGTTGAAAGGACCTTAGAGTCATTCTGTAGAATTTTGAAATGCTTATTCTTGTTTATTAAAGATTACATATGGTTCAACATTTTACAACATGGCCAGAATCCATCTATGAATACGTTGAATGGTGCTTGCCAACCAAAGAGACTAACTTTAAATGATAGATTTGAACATTATGAGTTGGGTTACTTTCTGTTGAGATTACCTTTTTCAGGTCTATTGCATATGATGGACGGAAGAGAATTTAGAATGAGCCTTTATGATGCAATCAGAATTTACCATGACAGTAGAGGTAGCTGAAGTCCTCTCTCCTTCCCAGAGGCCTGACTTTTATTTCCCAACTTTATCCCATCTCTTGCCAGAGTAGTTGGCAAGGTAAACCTTGATCGCACTTGGCATAAGTCACTGAGTTGGGATCTGACAGGGACCTCTTCTGACTACCCTTTCAGTCCATAGCTCACATATAAGCAGGTGACCTAGGTGAGGCCACCATAAGTGAAGTGTGAATTGCTTCCTAATATAGGATATAAATTTCCTGATAAATGAGGATCAGAATGGAGTTGTTGTGAATGTGTGGTGAACTAAGAGAAGAAGATGGAATTGGTGAGGAGAAAAAGGTCAGCCTGATTTTCATTTGAGCAATTTCAAATGGTTTTGTGTGCTACCCTTGGTTAAAAAATCTAAGGTTTCAGAGAGAGATGCCACTCCCAAGTGTGGCAAGTCACACTCCATAAGCTAATCAAAATAACCTCCCTGACTCACACCACCTCAATTCTACCAAATGTGGTGCCAGCGTATGATGGTGTGACAAAGAATCAAATGATACTTGAGGTTTAAAAGATTCTGCTATGCAAGCTACTTAGGGAGGAGTATGTTGAGATTCAGTATGGAATGTGTTCAAATGCAAGTTGTATGACAGTTTATATTATGGAAACTGAAAGCCACTTAGTATGCCAAGCACTGGAATGATACATAATATATAGGAAAAAACACCTATTATGAGAAAACAAATACAAAAAATGTTTCCCCAACTTTGAATTACTTGATGATAAAATTAATTCATAAAACTCCACAAATTTTTTCTAATTTATTATGTAAAATGATAATCTCAAGGGCATTTACAATTCTGTCCCAACTTGAACAGAAGAAAAAGAAATTTACTAACCAAGGATACAATATTTATTTTAGAATAAGACATCTAAAAAATACTACAGCTTATTCAAGTTTCAATGCAAATTATACAACTAAAATTGGCTTCAAATTATAACAGAAATTATTTATTATTTTGTACAAAGAAAAACAAGTTATGTATCTTTTTTTTTTTGTAACATTGCTTTGGTTGTCTCATATTGTATTTTACCAGATGACCCACTGTAAGAAGAGGTACCTTGCCCACGTGTATGGTTTGAAAGATTATCAGGGTCGTTTGAATACATTCTTTTGACTGTCAGGTTTTAAATAAGGATTTGACTCTATTTATATGTATAATTATTATCTGTACTCATTCTTTTAAAATATACTTTGGTGTTAGGATTTTTTTTGGAAACATTTCATTTGTTTTTCAAACATTAAGAAATATTCTCCAGTACAATTAGGAGTTTGATGTTATTAGTAACCATAAGCTAATTTTTAAAAAAATATTTTAAAATTAGTTTCCTAGTGAGGCTACTACTGTTCAGGATAATTCACTTAACACAATGTCACATTACCACTTTCACAGAGATTATTTTTCTGTTTGTCCACATGAGAACTGTTTATGGAATATCTACCTGGTGCCCTCTGCTCCAGAAATATCTGTGGAACCAACAGGAATGAAAATAAGTTCATCAGGAACACAATGTACAACATTTTCTCTGAGTTGATTTGAATTTACCTTTAACTAGAGTGATCCTATGTCTGCGTTTGTCCTGATGTCCTGGCATAATTATAAACAACATCCCCTTTCACTCAAAAGTGACCCAGATTTTGATTATTATATATACATATATCTCATATATATATATATCCTTTTATTAAATAAGTATGTAACAAGTCTAGGAATCACTGAATACTAGCAAATAATATCCAGAAAGTTAGCAAATACTACCTTTTCTGGGGAAAAGGTAAATGTAAACCTTCAACGTTCAAACGTAAATGGTCTCTATATTTTGAATAATAATATATCTGAATTATTTTAACTTTTGAGAAATATGAAACTATATGCTATATGCCATGATAATTTAAAAGCCAGGTTTATCCCTGTATTTCATTAAAGGGATATGATACATATGCAAAGATTGAAAAATTGCACAAATATTGAAGGATGCAAATTACCTGCCTACCTCTATGGCAGTATTGATTACATATTTCCTGTTGTGTCTGCACATAAATTCCCTTGACATCAACCACCAACCAATTCAGTATAAAAGAAAATAACTTGATTTATTGGCGAAAGTAAGAAATTGTATTATAATAAATTAGGCAGTCTGTATAAATAGGTCTTTCGATCTAGTACAGCCTCCTCATTTAATTATAAAGTTGAACAGAGATATATATCGTGCATGATAAATCTAAACTTCTGAATACAGTGGAGTGAGTTACTTGAGGATGTTGTTTGGGGCTTTGAATTAGAAAACTGTAAGGTAGATTTATGCTAAAATACACAGGGAGTTATTAAGTGCATATTTCTATGTTCAGCAGAAGCCTTTTTTACCCCAAAATAAAGGCATCTATTAAGTAATGTCTTTGAAGTATAGTCAACATATATGGGAAAATCCGTAATTCTGTGCATCATATTTGTAGATCAGGGCATGAGAAGCATCAGCATTTCATTTTCAGCTTTCTGTAACCACTTCATTTTAAACAACAGTAATTCAGTGCTTCCCATGTCTGCTGTAGTGACCCTCATTAAATTTTCTCATGACCTTCCCGATGCTAATATCTTTTCATTTCACACTTTTCTGGATGGTTCTATGACCTTCGCTACAGATGTTTTTTTTTTCTTTCCTGTCTTTTTGGTTCCTTCATAGTCTCCCATTTGCCTTTCCTCTGCAAAACTGGATACCTCCCAGTGCACAGTGACCATCCCTTTCTCTCATTATCCTCTCCACCTCTGGCTTTAAAATCGACTCCTCTTCCTCAAGTTTTCTCTAGTTTTAAAACAGATAAAACTAGTCCATATCGATTAGAGGTATAGGTAAAATAGGTTAAGCTATAAAGAAGAACAAAGTGACAATAATGATAAAAGTAAAGATACAAGTTACTTTGCAGAGGTAAGCAGTAAAAGGGCAGTTGCTGGGGGGAAAGTAGGTTCTTTATCAGAGTTAATAACCTGGTGTTTGCTTCACAACTGTTTGTTGAGGATCACATATAATCAAGGTTGCCAGATACAATGCAGTATACCCAGATAAATATGAATTTCAGATAAATAAGAAATATATCTTTATCTGTATATAGGTATATATGTGTATACATAACATAAATATGTCACATGGGATAATATATTTGGAACATATACATGTATGCTTAGCACAATATTTGCCTGTGTGTGTGTATCTCAAATATTATATGGGACACAATACCTTATGTGTATGTGTGTGTATGTGTGGTTGTGTGTGTGTGTGTGTGTGTGTTGCAGATGGTCTCTAACCAACAATAGTTTGACTTAAGATTTTTTGACTTAACAAGGATATGAAAGCAATATGCATTCAGTAGGAACCATATTTTGAATTCTGATTCAAAATTCTTTATAATACCTTTATTATAAAGTATGTTTTGTGTTAGATAAGTTTGCCAAACGGTAGACTAATGTGTTCTGAGCACATTTAAGGTAGGCTAGGCTAAGGTATAATACTTACTAAATTATGTGTATCAAATTCATTTTTAGTTTAAGATATTTTCAACTTCAAATGGGTTTATAGGAATGTAAGCTCACTGTAGGTTGAGAAGCGTGTGTGTGTGTGTGTGGGTGGGTGGGTGTGCATGTGTGCTGTTGTTGATCTCAAATTCACATTTGAGAATCCTGCCATTTATTTTTATTTGCTAAATATAACAATCTTAAATGTCAATTGAATGTACCTCCCTGATTATTATGAAGTATAGAATGTTTAAAATATTAATGGGCATCATTATCACTATCATAGATCCTAGACTATCAGCTGAACAAGAAAAGAGCAGTCTATGAAACTGAAGTAAATAATAGTCAGCCTAATAACACAGGCTATAACAAATTTGATGTGAGGGAACTATTTCTATTTAGTAGCAGTTTAATCTCATCAAATAGAAACAGTTGAAAATGTTGATAAATGGCCAAAGCAAAGTTCCCAAGACACATTTCTATCATATTTTCTAATGTTTGCAGCATTGTTGAAAATAAAGACTAATCCACCATATTCAGCAAGAGCTATCCTGAAGCACATGTCCAATTGGCCACTCAGTTTATTATTTCATGTTTCTGAAATACTGAAATTATAGTAGAAATATCATTACCTGTGATGTGAGAAATCACATTATGGTACAAGCTCTTCCACTTGCCATCTGTGTGATCTTTTGATCTTGGTTATTCAGATACTCTTTTCTGAGTCTCAGATTCCTCATTCTCATTTATGCGTAGTGATCCATTATTGGAATGCTAAGCTTGTGGGAATTATTTATATCCTACTGCTCAAGGTCATCGCCAAAGTCTGATTTTGCACACACAGAAAAATTACAACCTCAGGCATAAATGGGTTGAAAAGAGAGTAAAGCCACAACTCTGCTGTAAAAAATAGAGTAAAGTCACAGTTCTGCTGTGAGAATTAAATAAATAGTTATAGAAAGAACATTCATAAATCAGAAAATTCCTATGAAACAAGTTGTGTACAGATAATGAAACATTATTTTGCCCCTGAATGGGAAAATGCATTTATTAATGCATGATAATATAATTTAAAGGATAATTGACAAAAGAGATCAACATTAAAATATTTCTGTTTTGATTTTCCACAAAGCGTCAAAATTTAAAGGGTTTAACCTTAAGACTCCTTCTTCCAATATTTCAGAAACTTAAAATATCTTTCCTTTAGTGTGTCTACCTAGAAGGATTAAATATCTATAGGGAGACCTGCTCTCTACATTTTTTTAGTTAAAATTTCATATTATTTTTTCATCATGTGTTTATCTCACTTTAATCACTAAATGGTTTTACTGAAATATGAGCCAAGAAACCTACATCCTAGCAAACAGAGAGTATTGTGGTTTTCTCTAGAAGATCAGCAATTCGCAGTGTCTCCTGGGGTAATCATCTTTTACATTATTTGAGGCGTTACAGTACCTTGTGGTGTTATTCAGAGAGCACAGAGAGGGTTGTGCTGCAATGTCAGCCTAACTCTGGAATGTGGTTAGTGACGAATGGGAAATTGCTGATGTAAAATCTGTAAGAATTTCCTTCCTGTTTTCTTAATTTTCATCCTCTTTCCATTTTTCCTCAGCAATTGTGGTAATTTTTATCACCCTGAGGCGCAGCAAAAAAGAGCCCTTGATCATTTCAGAGGAGGATGTACGGGAGAACGTGGTCACCTATGATGATGAAGGAGGCGGAGAGGAAGACACGGAGGCCTTTGACATCACAGCCTTGAGGAATCCTTCTGCTGCTGAGGAGCTCAAGTACCGGAGAGATATCAGACCTGAAGTGAAGCTCACTCCCAGACACCAGACATTGTCCACCCTGGAAAGTATAGATGTTCAGGAATTTATTAAGCAAAGACTGGCAGAAGCAGACCTAGACCCTAGCGTCCCCCCTTATGACTCTCTTCAGACTTATGCCTATGAGGGTCAGAGATCAGAAGCTGGGTCTATCAGCTCGCTGGATTCAGCAACGACACAATCAGACCAGGATTATCACTACCTTGGAGACTGGGGACCTGAGTTTAAAAAGTTAGCTGAACTCTATGGAGAAATAGAATCTGAAAGAACAACTTAGGGGGTCAGTTCTTGCAACGTTGTGGAATTTGCTTCCTGAGTAAGTGGAGATACAACCTCAGCAATGACAAGGAAGAAGTGTGGAAACAGTACTTGGAACTGAGCAAGTTGGACACAGCCCTGTAGAAACAAGTGCCCTTTTCATGATCGAAACTGGGTTATTTAATTGGAAGAAAGTAAAAAAAAAAAAAAAAAAAAGGACAATACAAAGAAAAAGTTATTGTTCCTTGTGTATATTTTCAATTGCTCAATAAAGTCTGTGGTACTGTTTATTAAGAATACCTGCATTAAGCCAAACAATAATATTTGTTTCAATATTTTGTGATTTATTTTTTTCAAAAGCAAAACTAAACAAAAATGCTCAAGATCACTGATGGCTATGACTTATAGGGGTGGTAACACTAATACAGGAAACTTGTAAAGGTAATCACGACCTCTTTTATCACTTTTCTGGGTGAACCTTTGAGAACCACTCTCTGTTATTGTAACAGATCTCATTAGCCTTGTCTTGTGTTTATATTACATGAGGTATTTCCACTCTATCATGGACTTGTATGTACCATTTCCCTTTGCCCTCCCCAGTTCTTTTCTCCATACAAAACTGATGGAGCATGGGGATTTGCTGCCTGCACTATAATGTATGCAACTTCAGTGCACCAGTTGTGTGCTGTACTGAGCACGAGACTATTGTCTCTATCCCGTACACCCCCTTTTATTTTAATGGGATACTCCTATTTTTAAATGGACAGAAAGAATAGTTTAAAGTATGTTATGATAATCTGATATGTCAGGGAATGATTTAATTTTAACAATAACCACACACCTTATCTTCTCCCAAAGGTTGCGGAACTTTTTTTTCCTTTTTTCCACTTGTTTTTTTATATTTAAATCAGCAATTTTGATCATTTCTGTATTTAAAATTGATTGTCAAACATTTTGCTAGTTGGTTTGTATTTCAGTCTAATTCACTTATTTTCAACACGAGCAGTAATCAAAAATAGGTACCTCACACAATAACAATGTAGTCTGAAAGACTATCCTCCAATGAATATAAATGTCATAGAATCAGAGTTGACTTACATTTATTCCTTACACAGGTTCAGATTTTTTCCATCTCACTGATAATTAGTTTGGTATCAACAGGAAAATGTGTGGGACTAGGAGCAAAAAAGGAGATTCACAGTTGTTATCCTCAGATATGTTCCCAAAAGTCTCTGTGTTCAGGGTCCAAACCACAAAGCAGAGATGGCAGTGACTTCCCTGCCCACCTCACAGGGTTGTTGTGAGGATTAAATGAGCTTCTGTAAAATGCTTTGCCAACTGCAAAGTATTCAATTGCATAAAAGCTTGCAGATGCTTATCTAATTTTCTAGTTTCATTAGCTTATAAATATATATTTACATGCATCTCACATAAAATATTATATTATCATGGGAGAATTTCATGAAATCTTTAACAGTGAAGCTACTGTTTAAATATATAGTACAAAATTCCAATTATTTTAATATTTTCATAAGCTAATTTCTGAGAATTTGGGTGGGACTTTTTTTTTCTAATTGTTTTAGATAATGTTTTGTTGTTGTTGCTATTGGTCTTGAAGTAAGAATTCATACCATAATGGTCCTATTTTCTAAAACTGACCACATCCATATATTTCAGAAATATTGGAATTCTTAAATACATGAAATAGGAATTGGTTGAAACCAGAGTTTTTCCTTTGCTCTTTAAATTTATCATTATCCAGTGTCCCCAAAAGTTATATGACATTTTCTGTCTGTTTCTACCCATGTGCAAAATTTTGGATTTTACCTCTGTTTGCAATTACCCTGTGCTATCATTTTATAATTTTGAGGTATGGGAAGTAAGTAAGCTTAATTTGAATAATTCTCCAATTTGTGTTTTAAGCCTGAGGAATAAAATGTAATTTAAGCTTTTTACGACATTTTAGTTTTCCAGATGCTGCTTTATCCTTTTAAATCACATAATGGTGTGTGTTCCAGTGTGAGGTTAAATCTGAAGAGACACTGAGGGGTGTAGAGAGTAACCTCTGGATATACATGCTCTGATGATGCTAATTCTAGATTACATTCACCCTAAAAGGAGGGTAAAGCGTGTACAAATGTTGTAGGTCTGGGTGTTTTGCCTTTTCTCTGCAAAATGTATCAGGAATGTCAGGTTTTGGAATTCCATGAGGCTTTTGGATTTAGGTTTCAGATAAGCTATCCACAGAAGAAAACTATGGAATCACATATCACTAATACGTTTCAGCACATATTTTTTTAAAAATATTTACACAATAAATGTAGAACAGAGGATTTAAAAAATAAAATGCGTGTATACGTTTAACAGTTCATGTACCCTTTAAGGTCCTCCGCGTGGATCTGAATACCACAATATTTCTCTGATTTTGTAAAATGGAACACTTCAGAACTATCTTCTTTTAATCACACATTAAAATAACAGGTTGATTCTAAGCTCCCTTATATCAAATCTAAATAAGAACATAAAATGGAGCATCTGTAGTCCATGTAGATTAAAAAAAAAAATGAAAGCATTCCAAGTATTATTTTTATGTAAACTCTAAAACTAAGCAATTATATCATTATTATAAGTATGGATTGCTTCTCATACTTTTTGTTTTGCTTGTTTGAGCCAAAAAACAGTAACAACATATAAATGTTGTGCAAATTGACCAGAGTCATTGAATACTCAATATCTTACTTTAAAATCTCTAGTTTTATCAGCATTAGAAAATAGTTCCCTGAGAGTGTAGTCAGCCAAGAGTTTGTACGTTGACTTTAGGTTTCACTGGTCACAAATAATCAGATATGAAATAACAAGTCATTAATGTGTTCCAGCACATTTTGGAAGCCTAGTTGCTATTTACAGACATAAATAAAATAGAGCTTTGAAATCAATTTACTTCCTTCAAATAAGATACATTTCTACATACAGACCTTGTGCAAAATCCTGGATGCTAAATTAAAAAAAAAATAATAGTATGATAGTATTTTTATCCAAGGTGTTTCTTAGCAGAATTTATTAACTGAAAATACTCCTTGTGCAAACATTGAGAAAGTAACAACTGTTGCAGAAATTACTAAAATATCTATATAAGATATTCTTCCTATGACAAATCTGTATGAACACAGACATGAAGAAGAGAGTGAAGAGGAAAAGATAAGGCTCCATACAGAGTTAGGTTGTGAGTTTCCTACAACATGGTACAAGAAGGAAAATATTCTGAAAGGAATTGAATTCATTTAACCACATAGGTGGGCACACTTATATGCACATATCTTCTTGAACAATATCTGGAGGGTAAAATGATATTCAAAACAGGGATTTAGATATTGATGTGATCAGAATATCTGATGTATATAGACTTGTAGAACCCAGCATATGGAACACTCAGCTAGAAGTTAATGACCTTTGCCCTTTATTTTGTATCCAGCCTCAGTCTAATCTTTCGGGATGTGAGTTGATTGCAGCTCAGATGTATTTACATAAAGGGCAGAGAAACTGATCAGAAATCTGGGTAGAAAGGGAAGAGTATTGAGTCCATCATTTTTGGCAATGTAACAAGCTTAATACAAAATTTATCATTTTCTTACAGAACTTTACTTGTAAGTCTGATGTGGTGTCTTCTTTTCGGTTTAGCTGAATATATATGTTGGATGCAAAAATATATCTGAAGTCGTATCAGAGTCATCAAGAAGTGCCAGTTAACTGAGCATGTTAATGGAACATGTTTGAATGCAAAACATGTGGTGCAGGTCTTTACCTGTCTATTAGTGTGGACAGCTGTTGATCAGCTGTTCAAAAATTGGGACTCTAGAGCTGAATATTATGGAAAGAGGGAAAACTCCAATCTCTCAAGGTCAAATTGTACTTAACCTTTATGTATGTTATGCCACGGACTTACTTGGCTTTCAATTTCACAAATAGGTCAAATCTCAGAATAGTTCCTGGGAAATATATGACTCAAATTTGAATTCTCTCTCTCTCTCTCTCTGTCTCTCTCTCTCTCTTTCTCTCTCTCTCTCTCTTTTATCTTTTAGGATTAAAGCCAAATTAAATATTATCTAAAGAAAACAAAACCACTGAAATTTTTATTTTCTACGTCATCTTCAGAGGTTAAATCTTTTTCCAATATAGGATTAGAAATCACATAAACCTTACAGCCAAATGTAACTCACAACCATTTGGAGATAAGACCAGCACTCAGAACCCAGTCGCTTTTTCAGTTTCTAAGTACATAAATTTAAAATGAAAATATTAAATGCAGTACTTTTTACCATGTTCCTACTCTTTTAAAAACACATATACTACTCTGACTTGTGCCAATGAAAGATGTAGTGGTGCAACTTTTTAAATAAAAGAAGAGATCAGAAAAAAACAACATATTATTTGAAGCGCTGATGAAAAGATGGAAAAAAGTGTTAGTCAAGGGAGGAATGATTGCATTCATATATTGTGCTAAGTTCATAGAAATGAAAGATTTTTGCCCTTCAAAACTTCAGAGACATCAAAAACTATTTTAGTAATAATTCTTTTCTCAAACTCTTAGGTGAAAGTGAATAGAGAAAATGGGCATTGAAGGGCTCTTGGAATTATGTCCTATGAGGAAGGAATGTAACATATACGGCTTATAATGGGTTCATCAGATTGTGTAGTCTTATTGCTCACCAATACTACTTTAGAAATTTTAAAATGGGTCATAATAGTTACCCTAATAATTGTGTCAATACCATTTTTCTTATGTCAAAAATCATCAAATTCTTATTCTAAATTATCTACTGGAAATTTCAAAGTGCTGTCTGAAATGCCTTAGTTTCAAACAGAAAATAATACCTCCTAACATTTTTTAACTAAGCAAGGTGTTCTAAATATGCAGTAGATGCAAGATGCTGTTCCAGACATTCAGAAGGATGTCTAAAAAAGAGTCCTGGTGACAGTTGTCATCATCAATGAAATTGAAGTCTCATTTAAGAGTTACAACCTGCATGTAAAAAGCTGTGAACAACGCAAAATAAAGCAAAAAGTGGTAAAAAGTGTTCTCAAAGAGACAGATGCAATGAAATGAAAGGCTGAGGAACATATTAAAACTGTGTGAGTAATGTGCTACACTTGGATCCTCTGACTAGGTAGTGATGCAAGAGGCAGGGAAAACTACAGGAGGAGGTAGAAGTCTAGGG